ATGGTGACAATACTGAGTTTTCAAATATAACCCTCACAGCTCATGGTTTTAGATTCCGCAATACTTATTTTCCTGTCGATCCATCCGATGTCTGAACTGTCATTTTTTCTAAACAATCGCAGGTTCGTCTATTTTTGTCTCCAACTGCTGAGGATAGTGTGGAGCCATCAACCCTAGCTTCTACCTTGTCCACCAGGACATTCTGGGACTTATCTGAAACCAGTGGGGGTTGAGCCACTGCCGAATATAGGGCACATCTAATACGAGAATTTTAAACTTCTCCTAGCTTGATAATTCTGATTTACTATTCAGAAGATTTTCACTTTCAGACATTTCAGTTGCCATTTTTTCTAGCACGTGGGTGACGTTATAGGCACGCAGTAGAGGGACATAACTCTTGCAAGTTATGACCAATATTTTATTTATTGAACTTGTCTTGTTTCGTTTTATGGATTTATGTATTTTGTATTACGGTTCTGATCGTTTGTACTTGGTATTTATTTTATTCCAGATTTTACCTTAAAACTATAGTTTCGATTTCCCTAACAGGTTCAAATCATAAATAAAACAGATTAAAATATTCCGTTTGATGTGAAACAAATGGTCATTCCAGATTTTATCAGAAACCTTTAGTTTCGTTTAACAAGTGGTATTTATGCAGTTGGGCACGATGCGGCATATTGGGCAATGCGGCAAAACTAACCCACCGCACACCATCCCCTTTAGAAATGATGTATAAGTTTTGGTATCTTAGACAAGTATGCACAACAATTTACAAAGTCAGTAAGTTACAAATCGAGCGTTATATCTAATAAAAAGGTTGATCTAAGCGAAAAAACTACCAAATAGAATGGTAATTATCAAACTTACCGAAAAAATTATTCCAGGCCGGGAGTTGTACATGTAAGTTAGAAAGGTTTCGTGTGCAAAATATGCCATAATGATGTTCATGATACACAGATGTTGAAAATATTCATGTTCTTGTTTTAATATTTTTTATTAAGAAATTCGGTTAAATTAGTATAAATACCAGCAATATTGTTCATAATTTCATAGCAGATTAGATAATACAATTATACTAATCATGTTGTCACTTCGATTACTCGTCGTTGTCGCTGCTCTCCTGGTTTTATTACAAGTTGTTGACTCTTCTCCCAATGGTCCGAGACGTCCTGACCGTAGACGTTTCCCCTTTAAATATCATGACAGGAGTAAGTATGTCTTTTTTATCACTCTAATATTGTCAGTAATGTCACTTAATGGACCATTGTTAAACTTAACATCAATGGTGGTTCATTGATTTGCTTTTTTCGATCTGGCTTACGAATCAAGAGTGTCTAGATCTAATTTGCTAAACTAATCTAAATTGATTATGGGCCTTTAACCTGTTTCTAAGATTTTCTTGTCTTTTAGATCTACCAAGCTATTGACTAATCTTCTATTTTAGTCTGTGATGATTATCATCTTCCTGATCACGCCCATTGGGTTATTACTGAAGACTGTGACAAGTATAATAGACCATTCAGGTGTGACGACAGTCACTATCTTCAAGTTACGACAGAATGTCACTATGGGAAATGGAAGTTGAGCTACGAGTGTATAGCTACAGGAAACAATACTGGAGGGGTAAGATAGAAATTTCTTTCTTGAATGATGTTTTACTTACTTTCTGATCTTGATAAGGCGAATGAAAACAGGCAATGTTATGATGAAGAAAATATAAAGATAATCTATGTACCATTTGCTTTGTAACATTAATATTTTATTTTATTTCAGAGTTCTCAAAGAGGCTCGGGCTAAACTTTGATGACCCACTGATAATAAAATATTAGTATAGTAATATAGATCTTGTGTTATTTTATTTGAGTCACAACAGTAAACCTACATGAAGGGGTTAAATTATAGTGACCTCTCAAGTTGCCAATAGATAAGTATGGTGTCCTTTGAAGTTTGATGTGGAGGATTATCGATACAGTAGATAAAGGAGAAATGATAAACAATAATTAGGAACTATAGTGTATCGCATTCGTGACTTATATTTTCTTCTGTATCTATGATACCGCTTGTACATCCAGTCAAACACCGTACCCCGTTCTTGAACAGTTTAAACATGTTATTCCGACGTGTCTTATTATAGCCTGGATAAAAACATATAAAAAATACAGTAGAGCCGTGTTTATCCAGTTGCAGATAATCCGGAAACCCCGACATCCGCACGCTTTTATCTGTATAGAATTTGATAGAAGCATTTTCTCGCAAAAGAGTTCCGTAAAGACACTTCCATTACGAAATGCACCTTTTGTTTTCAGCTAACATAGATGTTCAAAATCAAATTTCATCGGACACAAAAATGGTTCATCTAGGGTCAAAATTAGCCAAATTTTGTCTGTTTTAATCTTCGAGTAGGTCTGAATCAACCTTGTTCAGTCTAGCTTCACAGGTCTGGGTTAAGACTATTGTGGCTGCCAGCGGGTCAGGAGGAGTGGTACGATAATGCGCTATGGATATAGTTGAACAAGAATCTGGTTTTTTAAATGTTTATATAATTAAAAGCATAAAACATAAGATGAATGAAAAGTTGAATTATTATACATCTGATAACTGTAGAAGTAGAGCGTAGAGCGATTAACTTAAATATACAATATAAATATGGCTGTCAAAATAATGTATAAATCAATCAAAAGACTTACTACAAATGTCACAAATGTTGGATAACAAATGGAAACCATGGGAGTATAGGCTCATGTATAAAAAATGTCAAGGGGTACTTAGACTAATATGGTTCCCAAATGAATCCTAATCTAAAAATATATCTGATAAATAAATAACTGACAAACAATAATAAACTACTTGTTACATTCATAAAATAGCGGTTTACTTATGTCAACGCTAAGTAAATAAATAGTATAACGGGGACGTAACTCTTAATATGAAAAAAGTTAATTGTGGTCTGACAAATGAAAATACCGCGCGGATTTTAGGTGAATACCCGGTCTGCAAATTATACACACCAAATGACAAAATATGACATAATTATATAAATACCGTATTATTAGACATTCCAGGCCCCTTTTACAATATTGATACAACAAAGTCTGAGAACTAACTGAAAACTGATAAGTTCAAACTGATAAAAAATGTTAATTTGAGAATTCTACATTCTGCCATGATGGTTCATTTAAAAAATGGTTCTTTTTATGCATCAATTGTCACAATAAGAAACGAAAAGATAATATGATATACTAAATTTCAGGAATTAGCTTGTGTACTATTGTGAAAAAACGAAATAAGTTTAAAACGTTCAATAAATGCTAAAATGGCCATAACACACCA